CTGGGGGTCGACCTGCTGGAGAGCACCTCTGAGGAGAGGGACCTGGGAGTTCTGGCAGATAACGGGATAGCCATGAGACAGCAATGTGCCCTTGTGGCCAAGAAGGCCAATGGTGTCCTGGGGTGCATTAAGAAGAGTGTGGCCAGCAGGTCAAGGGAGCTTATCCTCTACCTCTACTCTGCCCTGCTGAGGCCTCATCTGGAGTACTGTAGCCAGTTCTGGGCCCTCCAGAGGGACAGGGAACTACTGGAGGAGGGCTATGAAGATGATGAGGGGACTGGAGCATCTCTCCTGTGAGGAAAGTCTGAGAGACCTGGGGCTCTTGAGCCTGAAGAACAGAAGACCAAGAGGGGATCTTATCAATGCTTATAAACATCTAAAGAGTGGGTGTCAAGAGGATGGGGCCAGGCTCTTTTCACTGGTGCCCAGTGACAGGACAAGGGGCAATGGGCACAAACTGGAACAAGAGAAGTTCCATTTAATCACGAGGAGGAACTTCTTCACTCCAAGGTGACAGAGCACTGGAACAGGCTGCCCCGAGAGGTTGTGGAGTCTCCTTCTCTGGAGATACTCAAAAACAGTCTGGACACATTCCTGTGCAACCTGCTCTAGGCTAACCTGCTTTAGCAGGGGAGTTGAACTAGATGATCTCCAGAGGTCCCTTCCAACTCCTATCATTCTGTGATTCTGTGATTATTTTGACTTTTATTCAAAGCCTTAGGAAACGAAACAACAAAAGCTTTAAGGTGCAATATTACTTTGTTCAACTTGTCGGACCACAAACATTATTGAATGCTATCTGAAAACCAAAAAATCAGCTCTTCGTTTTGATTTGTACCTTCTTTCAAGGCTCTCATAGTTAAGATCAGAAGAAGCTGTAAGATTGTCTCAAGAATATAATATATATACAAAAAATCAAGCTTTTGCAACAACTTGCTGACAGTCCTTCCTCCTTTCCTGACAGTACTGTATCTCCCAACAGTACTATGCACACATTTGCAGAAATTTTTTGAAGATGAAAAATCCTGAAAATCTGCTCACAAAACTAGCTGAGCAATATCACTAATATACATATGTTAAAATTACATTAATAATGAAAAATGAAGCTATTCAAACTGCCTATGCAGATGCAATTCAGCTCCTTGTGTGAACACAGCACAGCTCTTAATAACTTGATCACAGACTTTTTACCCATGGGACACCTGCCTTATCCTATGTATAGACTGTGTCATGCTCGAAGATGAACACGGCCAGGAAATACAAATACTCCTGCACAGACTCACCTGCCTTGGCTGCAGAATTGGGCAGGCACAATGTAGGCTTACATAGGCCAGGACTAGTCATACACGTTCACTCCAGAAAGGCCAGTATTTTATTTATTTGGTTTTATACAGAGAAAGAAAGGGCCCAGAAGTGACTCAGAGCCAGAGCACTTCTGATGGAAGCACAAGAAGGCCTCATGGACATAATGCAACCTTAACCCCAGCCAAGCTCTTCTTTGACTTCTAAGTGTCCCTTTTGATCAGCACTAGAGCATTAATGAGGAACTTCCTACACCCATGGATGTACAGAGCATAAGAAAGAAGATTAATAGAAAACAGTAGTAAAAGATTCAAAGCGAATCTTTATGCAGAAATGAAAGGATACGATTGCTGGCATATCTCTATATTCTTTTATAAAACTTCTTTTTTTTTCCCTCCCATTTCACCATGTGAAAATTCTGTAATTTGGAATCATACTCAAATCCACATCAGTCATCAACAGTTTAAATCTTTTAATCACCCACACTGTCATTTTGTGAAAAACAGTTGGGTGTCATGTTTTGTGGACTAGTCCTTAGAAGGAAACAAGACACTTGGCTTGTGGCTTCCACAGATTTTTGTTGATAGCTGAGGAATGGCAAGATTTAAGGATCTTGAATTTCATTCCACACATAAAAGGGAATTACATTCTCGGACAAAGTTTCTCAATCTGCGGTCTGTAAAACATCAGATGGTGGTCCAAAAAATCATAACAAAAAATGTATTTTTAAAAACATACATTCCCACACATGCAAGCAAGAAAACATAACTGAGGAAATATAAAAAATAAAATAAACATTCAAAGTTTAACCTAATTGAATTGCACTATAATGCATAAGAATATGTGACAACATTTCACAAGATGATCCTTGCATTTTTTTAAGGAAGTGTTCTTGAAGCAACACATTGTCCTTTAACATCTCAGTTTTTAAATGCTTTCTTCTGTTCTATTGAATTTCCTGACTAAGTCACCTCCAGAAAATGCCTTGTTACATCCAATATGTTCCTCCTTTCATCCTACTTCCCTAAGTCATTACCTGTTTTCTCCATGTCCCACTACGCTTTCTCTAGTTTCATTCCCTTTACAGACACTCCTTCAAGTCATCTGTAGAAGAAACCCATCCAGCCACTGAGCTCTTTCTGCCTATTTTCATTAACAAACTCTGCCTCAAGTCTGCTGGTTCACCTTGAAATTCAGTTACTGCTGTTGGAACATTCTTTATTTCACTGGTTCAGCTGCAGGATTTTCCTTTCTCAGGACACTCCTTTCACCTGTCACTTTTCTTTACAATTACAGACATGTGGTCCACACCCTATCTATACTCCCTGGTTTAAGATCTGGATATAGCTATTCAGTCCTAGTCTTACACTCCTCTGTTCATGGCTAATTTTCCTTCCTAATGTCCACGCATAAATATCCTTGCATCTTGTCTACAGTCAGTTGTGCATACATACCCTAAGTTGCTTTTTTTTAGCCAGACAAACAGGCAACAATGCCTACATTAAATACTAATACCAAAACAGCTCTGCAAATTCAGCCAACAAAAAATACTGGAGAGGTACCTGGAGCTCACAAACACGTTAACAGCATACCTGAGATCCTCTCCTTCAAAACAGTATTTCTGCTCTTATATTTCCTATATAACACCACCATTAAATTCACGAATGTTAAATACATAAGTGAGTTTAAAAAGTGGATAACAATTCTCAACTAATGGCCACCTTTTTATCTGAAGTACATAATGCCTAACTTGAAACCCTATTTGCATATGCTGCTCTGATGCTGCGTTCTTCATCAGTTTAAAAACCACAGCTTTTAAACTTTTTTTCTGAAGATTATCAGTAACTTATCTTTAAAACTTGTTCTAAAACAAGATACAAGCTTTAAATTAAATATGCTAACTCACACATGCATATTTAAACTATTTATATGTATTACTAAATGCTGAACTGATTACTGCCTTTTTTCAAGACAATTATTTTCACAAATCTTATAAGTGACAAGCTACCTGGATGAAAACAGAGAATAAAAGCAACAAAAAGGAATTCTAAACTCAACTAAAAGTACTTAGGTATGTTACCTATGTAAAAATTGAAAAAACTGCTTTGCATTTAAAACTGAATTATGTTATGTGTGGCTAGCAAGCTTAATGACTGCATAAATGAACAGAACAGAAAGGTTTTAGAACTATCTCCTCTTCTTTCCTGACAATTCTATTTGTATACTAGAAAGAAGAAATGGACTGACTTCTGTTTTCAGTTTCAAACAGATTTAAATTAAATTTGAACAAAAGACAGGCATCTGAAAATAAGGAGACTATTCACTTGACATCCACAAAAGACACGGTTGCTACAATTGATTTTTACATGTTGACAAATTCTGTTTCCAAATGTTTGGTAGCTGAAAGCTTTTGTTTTTCTGAGCACTTTGGCAAGACACATGTACTGGCTGATGTGTGGGTTTGGGTATGTTCTCTTCATTTTGTTTTGGTTTTTTAACGAATACATTCAGCCTGCAGTAACAGTCGTGTTCATAATGAATATTAAGTTTAAGTTAATTAAGAGTTAATTTTTAAATATGGGTTTGAAACAGCTTTCTACACAGGCCTTTTACATGGGGTATCATTCTGAAGTACACGCAAGACTTTTAGGAGCTCAATGAAATAATTTTCCACCACCATGTAACCTATTACATATTTTGAAATACTTTATGACACAGAAAGAACAAACCCAATATTCAGTTCTTGATAGTAAATGAGGAAAATGATACCAAAATGTTTTGTTTACTACTGAGATGAATATAAAGGACATGTTTCCTTGGAATCTGGGCCTTTTTTTGTGCAATATGACACACAGATTTCCAGCTTCTCAGGAAAATTAAGTTTGCATACCAGCACAGAATATCCCTGGAACTTCACTCCGGAATATAACAGTTCGTACTTTCTTATCAGATTTCAAAGCATCCACAGCTTTTGACATCTACAGAGAAAAGGAGGAAGGGGAATAACTAAACACTTTTTAAAGTGCTTAATTCCAATACTTTATACTAAAAACTACTCTTTCCACTTACCATTTTTAAAAGATTTTTGTTAAGTGCATTCTTGGCATGAGATCTGTTTAATCCAAGCACCACAATTCCTGGAGGGGAAGAAAAATTGTATAATTGTTACAATATAAATAAAATACATATTATCTATGTAAGCTATTCTTTTGAAATTACAGAAAAAGCATCATTGAGGACTAAAAAAAATGCTAGTGTAATCACTTAACTACTGAGTTTTTGAAAGGAAATAAATTGGCCTACATTTCCCAATGTTAAATAGTTCAATGTTCAACAGAAACATTTATTTTAAGAACGAAAATATGGGCCTAACACCTTCACATGGAAATAGTGCTTACAAAGGCTGAATGTATAATTACACAATTGCATGCACAAATTTCATGTTTGTGTGTGAAGTGCTGTCATGAAATCAGGAAAAATACTTAATTGTAAAGCATATGTTTCCATATTTAGACAGTCTGCCTTCAGAGACTTCTTAAAGCCAGAAGTTCTACCACAGCTAAGACCAGCAACTCTGACACAGGTAAAAGGAAGTCACAAACATAGAAAGAATGCTACCTAATGGGGAACCTGAACTTTTGTTTAAAAAGAAAAAAGTTGTATAAAAATTCTCCCACAAAAAAATGCACTCAGTGCTTGGTACATAGCTCCAATCACACATTCACAGATCCCTTATTTCAGTTAGAGATCAGTTGTCTCACTGACTGATTACATGTGCATTGGTCTGAATGTTGCAGCAGAAAGACCACTTGTTTGTCTTTATTTTGCCCTCTTCAGCTCAACAGGCATGATTATCAAATGGGAAAATTCTGAAAAGTTTATCATGGCAGTGTCTAAGTTTAACAAGCCTACAGCAATCTTTTAGACAATTACTTACTGAACACACTATAACTCCCTGAATTCTAAATACCAGCACACAGTCCTGTTAAATTGATCCAGCCCTGGTAAGGTCTTATCACTCTGGACTTTTTTTTCACTTGCAGAATGCAGAGGTAAGGGGAGGAAGAAAAAGGACTAGGACAGGGATCAGGAATGAAAGACAAAAAGGGAGCCCTCTATCTCAAAAAAAAGCCCACTGTATTGCCATCAATCTACAAGATGAAAAAAGCAATTCCAGAAACTCAATATTTGCTCAGGTATTTACTACTCCACCATTCAGCTTAGCATGTGTAATCTATATGTAATTGGGCTCTCGTAGCCTCCACAGGGTGCCTGTATTGTCATCTCAGCGCCTACTACTTCTTTTATTTCAAGGAAACCTGTCCTCCCAGAGGTCTGACCTATCAATGCTTGAGCCCACTCCTCTTGCTCTTCTTCCTCCTGCTATGTGCACATGCCCACACACAAGACAAGATCTGGGTGGGTGAGGGGAGGGCAGTGGATGTGGTCTACCTTGACCTTAGTAAGGCCTCTGACACTGTCTCCCACCACATCCTCACAGGTAAGCTTAGGAAGTGTGGGTTAGATGAGGAGACAGTGAGGTGGATTCAGAACTGGCTGAAGGACAGAGCTCAGAGGGTTGTGATCAGTGGTGCTGAGTCCAGCTGGAGGCCTGTAACTAGCGGTGTTCGCCAAGCATCAGTATTAGGGCCTGTCCTATTCATTATATTCACCAACGACACAGATGAAGGGACAGAGCATGTATTCTCAGCAATTTGCCGATGATACGAAGCTGGGAGGATACGAAGCTGGGATGATACGAAGCTGGTCCCTTCAAACCCCTACTATTCTGTGATTCTATAATAATAGAATCTCTTTTGAGATGCACGAGGTTTTTTTCAACAGCAATGATGCTTTTTAATTATGCTTGTATTTTTCTTCTCCCCATCGAAGCCCAAAGACTGCTGCTCCACAACTGATATTACTGTATTCAGAAGGAAGCTCCAATTAACATTAAATTGCATTTAATATTTTTAATATTCCCTATAAAGCAATCATCCTTGAAGACATATCATACAAGTTTATTCCTCTTAGCAGTGTCATATCAATAAAGCTACCACTTCTGCGTCCCTCTCCAGAAAAACAAGAGGTAAATACAGATGACACCCACACAGCTGTTCTATTTCTTAAACAGGAAAAAAAGATTGAGAACTGCAACAGAAAAAGCATAAAAGGTTTATAAGAGAAAACTACATATTGCAGCGATGTATATAAAAAGATGAATTTTTCTTTTTTTTTTTTGAGTCAGTGTTGTTCTCATATGCCATTACTATAGTACCTGGGCATCCTTAAAAGGAATTCTTTGGGGTTTTAATATTGCAGCAAGATTTGTGAAGTTTTCACAACATATTAATCAGTGACCAAACTACAGACACATTAAGTACCTGCTCTAAGTTACAAAATAGAAATTGAAAAATAGACTTCCTGACTTCCAGCTGAGAATTTAATCCTTCTCCCTTCCCCAGTCCACCCCAAGAATCCCCTGCCAAAACTGTTTAAGGCAAGTCTTCCCCGTTTTGCACACTCAGCAAGATTTAAACCCCTGGTCACATGGCTATATCAATTTTAGATGGGATAACCACGGCAAAAAGCAATAATCAGGCTCTATATAACACTGTAGAGCCCCATCAACACAGTTAAAAAAGACAAAACCAAAAAAAGACAAAACCAAAAAAAGACAAAACCGGAAAAAAGACAAAACCGGAAAAAAGACAAAACCGGAAAAAAGACAAAACCGGAAAAAAGACAAAAACGGAAAAAAGACAAAAACGGAAAAAAGACAAAAACGGAAAAAAGACAAAAACGGGAAAAAAAAGGAAAAAAAAAAGAAAAAAAGAAAAAAGACAAAAAAAGAAAAAAGAAAAAACAAGAAATAAGAAAACAGAAGACAAGAAAACAAGAAAACAAGAAAACAGAAACAAGAAAACAGAAAACAAGAAAACAGGAAACAAGAAAATAGGAAACAAGAAAATAGGAAACAAGAAAACAGGAAAAAGAAAAAAAAATTTTAAAAAGAAAAAAGAGAAAAAAGAAAAAAAAAAGGAAAAATTAAAAAAAGGAAAAAGAAAAAAAGAAAAAAAAAGAAAAATGTTAATACTGCTATACAGGTAACCATTCTGACAAATATGGTTAGTCATACAGAAACTTGATTATTTTTATGTATTTTAAAATAGCTGTTTACATTGTCATCTGAAGCATTTAATCATGGTTCATTATTCCTAAAGCACCCATGTACAGGTGTGCTTTCCAAAATCTTTTTAAAAAAAAAAAGTTTAAAAATCTATTTATAAAATAAATAAAAGATTTAAAAGTCATCATCACATTCATCAACAAATATCAGTAAAAATAAGAACAGAATTCCAGTATCTGTATGGTGTTAAAGAAGTGGTAGATATATGAAGATGGCACAAGCATTCATATAATGCTAAATTCAATATCAACTTCATACTTTTTCCTGGGAGTCATCTCCACATTATTTCAGAACACTCTTCAGCAAATAATGTGCATCTATTAAAAATTACATCCACATATTAAAAACTTTCACCCTATTAGCTAGGCTCTCCAAGTGACTAGGATCACTCCAAATGCTGTCTAATATAAGCAGTCACATGTACTACTTGCCTCGCCAACCATCAGAGGAAAAGTGTATGCAAATGTACAGTATGTTCTCTGCTTATAAGTTACCTTTGTCAAAAGAGCAAGCTGCCTGTGAACTAACTTTTAATGTTTAAGAGAAAACTACATGAAAGTCATACATAATAAAAACAAAAAACGTCTTCTAGTGAGATAAAGATACATACATATATGAAAGATGGCTTCAAAATACCTGTGAATTCCCAGAAACATCCTCATCCACATTGTGTACACTAAATTTGGGATTTGCATAGTAGTAGTTCATATTGAAAGGTTCTTGTATTTCAAGATTGATAGCAAAAGTATATGATGCTATCATTATTTAAAACTGCTGAGAGAGATCGTATTTTACAAACATTTAGATCACATTCCAGCAAGTGACACTACAAACTTGAGTCAAGACTAGAGATATTTGTCCCAACTCCACCTATAACAAAGAGCAAAAGCCCTAGCTCATTAAAATTTGCAATAGGATCACTAATGCAACTTGGCTAAAAGTTCTGCAATGTCAATAGCTGTAATATATTTCAGGCCCAGTGATAAAAAATAGAACCTCGAATAAAGTAAAAGATATGTACTCAATTAAAAAATACGAATGCACAATTCCTGGAGGTGTTCAAAAAACATGCTGATGTGGCACTTGTAGACATGGTTTAGTGGGCATGGTGGTTATTAGGTCAATGGTTGGACTTGATGACCTTAGAGGTCTATTCCAACCTTATGATTCTATGATTCTATAATTCACTTATATTCACAGAAAACTGATACTAAAATCTTCACAAGTCACAGTATGTTCAGAATACACAGGCATTTTACAATCACATTCTTCAAAAATCTCACATCTTTTGTATTCTAGATCAGTTCAAATTTGGAAGCTGGCAAGTCTTGAGTTAAAATTTCAGTAACTAGCCCTCTCAAATATAGTCTCACTTCTGTTTATGTTTAATAACTTCACAAAAACTGCAGTACATGAATCACGTGAAAGTGTTATGAAGCAGGACAGTTGCTACTTTGCCTGAAGAGAAAGCTTTCTCTAGAGTTACAAGATACATGCCTCTATGTGAGGCAGTTACTGTCAGTTTTCCTGCCTCCCCAGCATCCTCAGCTGTAAAAGCCCCTGGACAATACACCCTTCTCCAAGTAGCACGGACAGACTAGACATGGGCAAGAGCATAACCACCGCATAAACAAGCATGTGTGTGCCACAAAGGGTAGTCAAGAGTGTGTAGTTAAGAAGTACGTAATGGAAGAATATAATGAGGCAACAGCACCAGGGTCCCACTTGGAAAGGTCTAGAACATGAACTGGTGGAAAAAGGAATGGTAGGTTACAGGGGAGCAGGAAAAGACCAGAGAGGCTTATATGGAGTTAGTGTCCTAATGCAGCAGGGATATTACATGCTGTAAGCAGATAAAGATAGATGAACTTGACACACAAGACGAGCAGGAGGGTGTGCAATAGCAGCATGGGGAGGGTGCAGAGACATATTTCTTTCACAGAAACGTGGCCTGCTCTTCATGCTGATGAAGGAGGCACACAAAGCTTATGTTTCCTTCTGGCTCACTTCTACACCTTTGTTCTCATCCTTTATTAACAAACAGTATTTGTTTCTATGTCCCTCTGAAAGTCAAAGCCAAAGAAAAACCCTTCCCCTGAAGGGAATTCATGAATTAAGAATACATTGATTGAATTCTTCTTTATGATAGCCACAGTTGATTTAACAGTCCAAATGCTATCTCCATATTTTGGATGACTTTTAATGCCACATTTAACAAAGATGTATATTCCGACAAGCAAAGAAAAAACAACTTCAAAAAGATTTTTTTCAACAGAAAAAATAAGAACAGGTGGCTGTTGACATGCATAAGTTTAGCTATCTCTGCACCTTTTGTTCAAAAACCTCCTTCAACTCCTCCAACTTACAGTATCTGCACCAAACACACCCAGCAATTAACTTAGGATAGACAGACAATACGAAACACATTCACAACATTACAAAAGCAATGATTTTTATCTGATTCAACAGCTGGAACACAGTACCTAATTCTATTGTTTGTCGTGTAATAGCACAAATAAAAATAATGATCTTAGGTAGTACCCAAGTATTTCCTACCACTTGTTGACAAAGCACTAAACAGACAAGCAAAAGCAGTCTCCAACATTTTACAAACTCTTCTTTGCGCCTCCCTTGCCTCTTCCTCAATTTAAAATAATCTTAAAAAAATAAAACAGAAGTTTAAAACTAATTCTGAGTTCCATAATTGGTTGAGAAAACAGGACTGAAGAAGAACATCTAAAGGAACTGGAAAGAGTTGGGAACCGAACAATCACTAAGACAGAAGTGGATTTCAGGATCAGATTACATCATCAACTTTATTGACCCTTAACAGTGACAGAAAAACCTGATCTCAGACGAAAGCAGAACCCATTTCCCTTTGAAAAAGAATCACCTTCTAAGCCTCATGATAAAATTTGAAGTTACCTCTGCATATGTACAGAGATCTGTATATATGCATACTCACAGGTGTTTGCCTGAATTTGCAGCCTGAAATAACTGAGTTAACACGCTGAGGGACGTAAACTGAATTGTGCACCTCAATGTATGGTTATTGCAAGACACACTGGCCATATAAAGAGATTCATGCCCTGCAGATGAACAGAGCTCCACACTATGGCCCTCTCCATCAAAGTAGGTATAACATCATGGCTCTAAAAATATATCCTCAGGAAGGCCACTTGCACTTAGGGTTTCTCCACCATTCCTAGCCCTGCTGCACCCAAATGGGAAGGAAGAGACAAACACCAAAGGACGTGAAACCACCAAAGAAAGAACACCTCCAAAATCTGGTGAGCACCTAACCAGAAAAGGAAGTGCAAAGCCTCCATGTTGTGATGCACTGGCTCCAGATCACTCTGGAGCACAGATTATCTTCCTTTGTTTAACCAGGTGGGTTAAAACAAGACTGTTGGTATAGCTTTGTAGAACAAAGTCAGCAGCAGTTGACAGCACTAAAAGCAAGGAGAGTGAGACAGTTACTAGGAAAGCAACGTGAGATGAGCCAGAGTGCTGAAGCCACACTTTCCAGAACAGAAAATGTTGGCACAACTTCTGCATCCTCGTCTGCCCCTGCACACAAGCACATAACAGGTGCGGGAAGCAGCACGACTGTCGCAGCTTACTGCTAAATTTCGTTTTCTCCCATTAAAGTGGCCAACAGCCGCCAACTCAGAACGGTGCACCTCGCACGCAGTACATACACTGTAGTACTCTGAAAAAGAAAAGCCAAGAGACCCCAAGCTGACCCAGCCCTGCGACGGCCATGCCGGCAGCTCC